CACAATCCACACTGCCACACAGTCTACACAGTCTACACTACCACATTCCACACTGCCACACAGTCTACACAGTCTATACTACCACAATCCACACTGCCACACAGTCTACACAGTCTACACTACCACAATCCACACTGCCACACAGTCTACACAGTCTACACTACCACAATCCACACTGCCACACAGTCTACACAGTCTACACCACCACAATCCACACTGCCACACAGTCTACACAGTCTACACTACCACAATCCACACTGCCACACAGTCTACACAGTCTACACTACCACAATCCACACTGCCACACAGTCTACACAGTCTACACCACCACAATCCACACTGCCACACAGCCTACACAGTCTACACTACCACAATCCACACTGCCACACAGTCTACACAGTCTACACTACCACAATCCACACTGCCACACAGTCTACACAGTCTACACTACCACAATCCACACTGCCACACAGTCTACACAGTCTACACTACCACAATCCACACTGCCACACAGTCTACACAGTCTACACCACCACAATCCACACTGCCACACAGTCTACACAGTCTACACTACCACAATCCACACTGCCACACAGTCTACACAGTCTACACTACCACAATCCACACTGCCACACAGTCTACACAGTCTACACTACCACAATCCACACTGCCACACAGTCTACACAGTCTACACTACCACAATCCACACTGCCACACAGTCTACACAGTCTACACCACCACAATCCACACTGCCACACAGTCTACACAGTCTACACTACCACAATCCACACTGCCACACAGTCTACACAGTCTACACTACCACAATCCACACTGCCACACAGTCTACACAGTCTACACTACCACAATCCACACTGCCACACAGTCTACACAGTCTACACTACCACAATCCACACTGCCACACAGTCTACACAGTCTACACTACCACAATCCACACTGCCACACAGTCTACACAGTCTACACTACCACAATCCACACTGCCACACAGTCTACACAGTCTACACCACCACAATCCACACTGCCACACAGTCTACACAGTCTACACTACCACAATCCACACTGCCACACAGTCTAAACAGTCTACACTACCACAATCCACACTGCCACACAGTCTACACAGTCTACACTACCACAATCCACACTGCCACGCAGTCTACACAGTCTACACTACCACAATCCACACTGCCACACAGTCTACACAGTCTACACCACCACAATCCACACTGCCACACAGTCTACACAGTCTACACTACCACAATCCACACTGCCACACAGTCTACACAGTCTACACTACCACAATCCACACTGCCACACAGTCTACACAGTCTACACTACCACAATCCACACTGCCACACAGTCTACACAGTCTACACTACCACAATCCACACTGCCACACAGTCTACACAGTCTACACTACCACAATCCACACTGCCACACAGTCTACACAGTCTACACTACCACAATCCACACTGCCACACAGTCTACACAGTCTACACTACCACAATCCACACTGCCACACAGTCTACACAGTCTACACTACCACAATCCACACTGCCACACAGTCTACACAGTCTACACTACCACAATCCACACTGCCACACAGTCTACACAGTCTACACTACCACAATCCACACTGCCACACAGTCTACACAGTCTACACTACCACAATCCACACTGCCACACAGTCTACACAGTCTACACTACCACAATCCACACTGCCACACAGTCTACACAGTCTACACTACCACAATCCACACTGCCACACAGTCTACACAGTCTACACTACCACAATCCACACTGCCACACAGTCTACACAGTCTACACTACCACAATCCACACTGCCACACAGTCTACACAGTCTACACTACCACAATCCACACTGCCACACAGTCTACACAGTCTACACTACCACAATCCACACTGCCACACAGTCTACACAGTCTACACTACCACAATCCACACTGCCACACAGTCTACACAGTCTACACTACCACAATCCACACTGCCACACAGTCTACACAGTCTACACCACCACAATCCACACTGCCACACAGTCTACACAGTCTACACTACCACAATCCACACTGCTACACAGTCTACAAGTCTACACTACCACAATCCACACTGCCACACAGTCTACACAGTCTACACTACCACAATCCACACTGCCACACAGTCTACACAGTCTACACCACCACAATCCACACTGCCACACAGTCTACACAGTCTACACTACCACAATCCACACTGCCACACAGTCTACACAGTCTACACTACCACAATCCACACTGCCACACAGTCTACACAGTCTACACTACCACAATCCACACTGCCACACAGTCTACACAGTCTACACTACCACAATCCACACTGCCACACAGTCTACACAGTCTACACTACCACAATCCACACTGCCACACAGTCTACACAGTCTACACTACCACAATCCACACTGCCACACAGTCTACACAGTCTACACTACCACAATCCACACTGCTACACAGTCTACACAGTCTACACTACCACAATCCACACTGCCACACAGTCTACACAGTCTACACCACCACAATCCACACTGCCACACAGTCTATACAGTCTACACTACCATAATCCACACTGCCACACAGTCTACACAGTCTACACTACCACAATCCACACTGCCACACAGTCTACGCAGTCTACACTACCACAATCCACACTGCTACACAGTCTACACAGTCTACACTACCACAATCCACACTGCCACACAGTCTACACCACCACAATCCACACTGCCACACAGTCTACACTGCTGTACAAACTCGTGTTAAGTGTGCAATGCTGTGCACGGATACACGCACAGTATTGCACGCTGCGCTATTATTTTTCATTCTGTGCATTTAACGTGCAAGTTATATTCAACGCTAACAAAAATATTCATCATATTTAACATTAGAAATACTTCCTGTTTTTATTAATATTTGGGTTGATGTCGGCTAACGTAAACAACAGGGCGGGGTGGGTGGGTGTCTTATTACGAACCGTTACCCAAACCACCGAAGTTTATCAAATTTTCCTTTCAATTTTCAGATTGCGGATAATTTCACGAACGTGACGGTCAAGGGTTGCAACTTTCACAAGCCGCTGGTTTATAGGCGGCCGTGTCGACACGCTCACCCGATGTTCCCACTCGAGCCCAGCATCTTTTTGACGTTGCAATGAAACTCAAGTTAAATTAAGTCGGATAATTGTTTTTTTACCCTTTTATCTGGCAACAAAACTGACACCTTTTGAACAAGGAGTCATGTTTGCATAGACCACAATACCTGCAGTCATAATGCAAACAAAAAACATAACTCTGATAATGTATGCACTGTCCTTGAAGTTGATTGGTCCACACCCGAGACAGCTTTCCTTAGAGCCTAGTCTCACATGGTGTTGGACCAGATGACGCCAAAAGGTTCCAATGGTGTTAAATTAAGTCATCACTCTATAACCCGGTAAACATGCCAACGACGTCGGGCCAAAAACGTTGGTTGGAACCATCGGACTAACGTTAGCCCAACGTTAGCCCAGCATTGGTCCAACGTTGTACCGTGTTTTAAGCTCTTTTTTTAAAATCCTTTATATTAAGTTCGCTTGCTTGCTTGCTTACGACCGTGCAAATCTTTCGGTCGTTTTTTAACCCACTTCCCGTCATACAATCGAGCTGATATTTTCCACACAGACTCGTTGTGCGTGACAATTAATGTTCGTGAAATTTTTTTTCCAAAATTTTACACTTTTTGGGACAAAAATATTATATTTAATTACTAATTGCTTAATGGTGCAATGCAATCATCTGACCCATATGTGGCAGCCATATCAAGCCAGAGGACGAGAGGACTCTAGCCGCCACGCATATAAAGGATTTAGAGTGAAAAACTTTGTTTTTACGGGTTAATTTTTTACAGATGATGACTTGATTCAATATGAGAGATATGGCTCGCGATGGCTCTCTCTGGGCACTGCACCTCCTGCTGGAGTTGACTGCACGCAAAAAGTCCGTCGCATTAAGTTTGCTTCTGTCTGTAATTTATCTGGGTACAAGCTCTGAGAATGATGAATATCGGTTGGGCGGTCATGCGGTGAACATCATCACTCGCAGTAGCGGGATGAGTGGGAAAGCATCGTCCCTCAAGCGTTGTGGACGGGAGGTCACCGGGAATTATCTCAGAGGCAGCTCTGTGAGATCCACTTCCGAGTGGTAGATCTATAACCCCGGAGGGATGCTCTGCTCTGTAGGAAATCCGAATTAATGATTCGTCATGGATAGTACAACCTGGATAAAATTGGCAGATATTTTTTTGTACAACTCTGTTATGTTAGCCCGTCGAGGCCTGGCACGTGGAGGCCTGGCGCACAGCTATCCGGGTTGCATGTGAGAAGTAACTTGGCGGAATGCATTTACAAATGACAACAGAATAAACGTGTACGGTGTTTAGGCAGCAGTGTCACAGCCAGCGGGAGAAAAAAATTTGTGTCACGCACCCATAATCGCCACACATGGAAATAAATTCGCCTTTTGCTGTAGGGGCTGGCTGGAGACTACACCAAATTATTCTTGTCAGCTGGAGAAATAATGCTGCAGTTGTAACTTCCTTATAAAGGCAGTTATGGTTGGACGATTTTTTTTACTGCTTCCTGGCCCTGATAAATGACGTTTGATGATGGTGGTGATGATGATGATGCTGGCTCATGTCGGTGGCTACGGTGGTGAACGTGGACGTCACTTGTTTAAATCTTCTCCACCGAATCTTGCCACCTACGTGGACTCAGAACTACACAACAGCTGGCCCAGACATCTTACCGCTGGCTCAGACATCTGACGGGTGGCCCAGGGTTGGCCCTTGGAACTCACAGGTGGCTCTTGTTTACGATGGCTCAAGCGGGCTCAAGAGTGGCCGATGCAGCTTTAGGAGTGGCCCATGGAGTAGGTGAGAAGTGACTCTAGGAGCTCCCTGCTATCCCTGGGTGGCTTGAGGTTCGCACAGTTGGCTCAGAACATACACGGCCGTGGGCGACGGCTCCCTTGCTGGCGCGCGCGTGTCGCGGTGCGGCCGGCGACCGTGCCAGTGGCCTCGGACAAGATCCACGAATGCCGAGGACACGGAGAAGGAGAGGTATGACCTCCACGAGGCCAGGTGCGCTAAGTGGCCACTGGTCGGATCTGAGTCCACAGTGTTCTGCTGCTGCTGCCCCTGGTGCTTGTGAATGGCAGCCGAGGCGGCGTCTCTGTCCGTGGATGCCGCGCGGAAGCAGCAGCAGCGGCGGCGGCGGCGGCAAGCGGAGCCGGGACCCAGCGGCACGGAGAAGAAGCCGTAGACGACCGGGTCGACGCACGCGTTGAGCAGCCCAAAGAGGAATAGGCCATGGCTCACGGCCTCTGGGATGTGGTCTTCGGAGGCCATGGCGGGCCTGATGCAGTACCACACGCCGAGCAGGTAGTACGGCGTCCAGCACACGACGAACGAGCTCACGATGAGCGCCGTCATGCACAGCGTGCGTGCACGCGCGCGCGACAGCGTGCGTAGGCCGTGGTTGCATGCGCGCATCTCCCTCAGCTCCACTGCGGGGACAGGGGACACCGGGGGATGAGGACGCACAGGGACACGGGCATACAGGGACATGGACGCACGGGGACAGAGTGGGATGGAGACACGGGGAGACAGGGGAACGGTTTAGTTTGAAGGCGTGGGGGGATCCACACGGTGGGATTTGTCCGGGGCCCGCCCCCCCTATAGACGGCCATACATGGGGGTATGGGGGCATTGGGGCAAGAAGAAATGAAGACGATTGGGTACATTGAGATTCGGCGACACACAAAACACAAAGGTATGAGGGCATAAAAGAGATTGCTCGAGAGCGCATGACGTAGACACGTGGGTGTCAGGGGCATGGCGGCACAGAGACAAGGGCAGCACGGAGCATGGGACACGTGGGGGGGGGGCACAATGGGACACGTGGGGGGGGCACAATGGGACACGTGGGGGGGGGGCACAATGGGACACGTGGGGGGGGGGCACAATGGGACACGTGGGGGGAGGGGTCACAATGGGACACGTGGGGGGGGGGGGCACAATGGGACACGTGGCACTGGGATGAGAAGACATGGCCATGAGATCGCAGAGACACGGATTCCACAATTATCCTCCGTTCCATGAGAATTAAAACAAAGCCATGGCTGAGAAGATGCCACAAATTGTAAGTTGCCTCAATTAACCGGAAAAGTCACAAACTCTACCGCATAATCGACGATTTACCATTCTGGCACGGGGCACTCGATAATTTTTGCAATGTGCTAATGATGCAATTGAACCGATACCGATGCCCATTTATAAATGCAATTATTTTTGTTAATTATCACCAACATAAATTTATATTTAAAGCTTTCGTGACTGCAGGGATTCATCTTCTTGGTTCTTTCGGTACAGTCACGTAGAAGGGAAGTAATAAAATAAAAATAAAACATAATAAAATAATTCTCACGACGTTTCGGCCACAACGCAAGCAGCCGTCCTCAGGTGAAGACCAGGTCTGTCGGGGAGACAGCGTCTGACCGAAACGTCGTGAGAATTATTTTATTATGTTTTATTTTTATTATTTTATTACTTCCCTTCTACGTGACTTTACCGAAAGAACCAAGAAGATATCACCAACATAATTAGCTTATATTCCACAAGCAGAAGCCACATTCACGCGCACACAAACTGCTTACGTAGTAAATGAGTGAGTTTTGCTCTTTAACTTTTTTTTATCTTTTTCGAATTAGAGGGTGGGGGGGGGGGATGTAAATGGCATGCGACGGGGGACATCGCGCCTCCTCGCATCCCGCACGGGGGGAGGGAACATCGCTCTTACCACTGCTGCCACTTCCATCTCACCACCACCACTCACACGCAGACAAAGGTCCCCCGTGTAGCCTTAACATGCTGCTGGGGAAAGTGATGTTAGCGAGTAGTAGCACAACTGTTAAGGCCGGCACGGTCAGGGCAATGCCCGGCCACCTGTGTCTCCCCAGTGACACAAAAATGCAGCCGGCTCTGGGGAGGCCCAGGACCGGTTAAAATAATCGTCACTGGTGTTGATGGCCGTGAACGGGAATCGGATTCGGGTCGCCGGGTTCGTAGCGCAGCAAACTAACTCATACACTACCGCACGACCTTTCGCACATACAAAGAAAGCTCCCCCATAAAACCTGAACAGACTGTTGGTTGCAAGTGATGTTAGCAAGCACCTATGAAGGCCGGCACGGCACACGAGTGGGTGGGTGGCCAGCACCACGCCCGGTCAACTTTGTAACCCAAGTGGCGATATTTACACACCGCACCAGGTACTCATTTGAGGCCGAGTCGACCTAGGAGAGGCCCAGGACCGGTTAAAAAAATCGTCAATGGTGGTGGTGGCCGTGAACGGGAATCGAACTCTGGTGACCGGGTTCATAGCGCAAGCATAGCGCTAACCGCTGCACTTTGACACACACACGCGCGCGCTCTCTCGTCCATCCACTGCCTCTCGCCCGCTTGCTCCACTGACCGCTGTTGACGCGGCGCGAGATCTGCAGCAGGATGCGCCCGTAGGAAGCCAGCATGACGACGAGGGGCAGCAGGTAGAGGCACGAGAAGGTGAACATGAGGTAGCACACCTCGTGCCAGCGGCGCGGGAAGCTGCCGTGCGTCACGCACTGCGTGAAGCTCTCGGTCGACGGAGCTCGCGCCACGTGGAAGAGGAACAGCTGCGGGGGGCAAAGAAAGACGAGAGAGGTCCCCCGTCAACGCAGAATGCGGCAGGTACAGGGAAAAGATCCCCCGTGTAGCCTTGACACACTGCTGGGGCAAGTGCTGCTAGCGAGTGGCGCCTATCAAGGCCGGAACGGCACACAGGAGGTGGGTGACCAGCACCACGCCCGGCCACTTTTATCTCATGAGTGGCGACGTTTGCTACGCACCGCAACGGGTACTCATTTGAGGCCGATTCGACCGAGGGGAGAAGGCCCAGGATGGGTTCAGATAATCATCACCGGTGTTGTCGGTGGCCATGAACGGGGATAGAACTCGGGTCGCCGGGTTTGTAGCGCAGCGCGCTACGTTGCTGTGCCGCCACTCCTCTGTGATGTAAACCACGCGCGCACGCACGCGTTGTGACTTTGTGTCACGATGTCAGTAGCAGATTCAGAGACTTACCAAGGAGAGGGAGGAGGGCAGTTCTGAAATGTGAAGCTTTCAAATGGGGGCCTATTTTAATGAATACGTAATTCAATGTATGTTGTACAGAAATTATTATCAATACCTGTACAATGCTACATTTTGGAGTCTCAAAGCGTGTGGAGTGGCGAAAGCCCCCATCGTGGAAAGTTATCATTCCTAGAGCCGGAGCACGGATATCTATTGGACAACCACCGTTAACTCCCTCACGAAGTGGTACATATTTTATCGACCCCGGAGAGTTGATGGCCTGAGTCAATTGCCCCAGTCAAGATGTAAACTCGCAACCTTCCAATTGCGAGCCGCTCGCTCTACCGCTGAATCGCCAGGCTGGCTATAGCAGCAATCACAAGAACATCATCACCATCATCATGGTTGCCGTATTTATAAGAGTACCTGGGGTGCCATGTTGGAGAGATGTTAACTACCTCGCCTAGTTTACATGAAGTTGTGGGTTCGATCCCGACCATGACGCCGGCTGTATATTTGGAGTTTGCAGGTCTCTCTCCGTGATCGCGTGGATTTTTCTCCAGGTCCTCCGGGTTTTCCCTCCACAATTAGAATGAACATCACGCATTTAGAGTATTTGGCTGCTATATATTTCCACATTAATAAGCATCATGTGGCCAGGTCGCTTCTGAAAAAGAGCTATATAGCTCAGCAGAGCTTACCTGCTAAAATAAAGTACTGTATAGTTTTTCACTGCTTCCGTGCAGTAATCTCGAGGTACAGGAACCAAGGGAACATTTGAGATAACCACTTAAATAATTACTGGGTACGGACGTGAGTGCAGACCAAACACAATGTCCACAAAACATACAGTATAGATGATACAAACAACACGTTACAATAAACGACAGTGATTTATCCGCGCGCCAATTTAATTCGTTTTAAAACTGATTATCGTGGGTTGCATTCACATTATTCCTGAGTAAGCTGTTCCTCGACTCTGCTGCCAAAGCACCAAATTGACAAAAGTGAAAAACCAAACCACTTTGGCTGAAACATCCAAAGTGGTTTGATGCCCACGGTGGTGGTGAGTAGACTTTGTCACTCAACCACAGTTAGCACGGACAAGAGACATCGTTCTAGATTTAAAGTTTTCGTGACTGCAAGGGTCCATACTCTTTGGTTTTTTCGGTAAAGCCACGTAGGTAAAAAAGAGAAAATAAATTAAATCACGACGTTTCGGAAGCAACACAAGCAACCGTCATCAGGTGTTGACTGCAGTCAAAAGAGTAGAGACATCGTTGTTGTTGTTCACATTGGGGTCTCTTGGCCACAGTGGGGACCGCACGTGGCGGCCTCTGTCAGTCGATCTGTAACCACCCAGGTCCCTGTCCCCTCGTTAAACACATCACGTGGTGCTGCTGCTGCGTTGACAGCGGTGCACAATGCACAAAGACGAATCTCAACACATTCACCAACTGCACTGTGGCTTTAAAATAAACGAGCATCTTTGCCCGTCCTAGGACGGACAGCTGTAATATTTACGAAAAAATCGAGCAGAGTATAATTGTATTGCTTGTGTAAATGTAATGGCAGTGAATCTTGCACGAAAGTACGTCATCAAACACTTCACTGCAGTTAACTGTAGCGCTGTATTAACGGCAGTGAATCTGGCACAAAACTACGTCATAAAACACCTCACTTAATGTAACTGTAGCGCTGTATATAAGCTGACCTTCAATTTGTTCAAATTCACTGCTCTGATACTTTATTGTCTTCTGTTTTCGGTCGCTGGGGTTGAAATAAATTGGAAATCGATACAATATTCCTGGAAAATCAGCGATAAATGTCAATTTAACCATAATGTAGAAGCATCAATTAGGCTTATCCTTTGTCTCAAGTGTTGAAGAAATAAATAAAGACACCAAATCCACTTTGTTGCTGCGTAGAATTATTTATTAGATTCACTGTCAATGAAGAAACGTCAAACAAAATTCGCGAAAAAAAATGCTTATTTCCATTCGACCTACGCGAGTGTAAAAATCCACCCGCTCATGAATATTAATTAGGGGGGGGGGGCTTTGTTCCAGTGACGTCACGTACGGATGTAGCACTGTGCTGCATATATTAAGTTTTTACCGTCACTTTCTGTAAAGAAACGTCATATTTGAAGCGACTCTTCGAAACCAAATATCTGTCCACTCGACCTTCCGCGTGAGTGTAAAAATCCACCCGCTCGTGCGGCATTTGGAGTGACGTCACGAGCGTTACACACATTTCTGGGCTATTGTAGTAGTAATGTGTAATAGGTGACGTTATGGGTACGAGTTGTGGCCATAACTTCACCTGTTGTGTTTATGGTTTTTAAGGCAGTGTTGTACTGGTAGGAACCCACTGGTTCCACCAGCCCACAGGGGATTATTGTGTCCGTCCGTCCGTCATGCAGGGAGGGGCTGGGTGGAGAAGGAGGGGCTGGGTGGGGAGGGTGGGGAGGGGCTGGGTGGGGAGGGTGGGGAGGGGCTGGGTGGGGAGGGTGGGGAGGGGCTGAGTGGGGAGGGGCCTGGTGGGGTGGGTGGGGAGGGTGGAGCTGGGTGGGAGGGTGGGGCTGGGTGGGGGGTGGGAGGGGTGGGGCTGGGTGGGGAGGGGCTGGTCACTCCGTGGTGCCCTTATAAAACTCAACGTTTAACCTACTCACGCCGGCTTGTGCCCGCCCTCACAGTCGGGCATATTTGCGGAATACACCACGCCGCCGTTGACCCTGCAGGCCATTAACCGATCAACCCAACGTTCCTACCAGCTCCCTCCGCAGGAGGAATGTTTTATTGGCGAAGTGTCTGCGAGTCTCTTCCATGAATTGCGGCCATCGGCCACTCACTCCACGTGGCTTCAGAATGAACCGAGCCTGGCACAAACTCATACACACCGTGCAAACATGTGTGCGCATGTTCGGTGTGTATGAATTACACTGTGTAACAAAACATCATCGTACTTGCAGCATCACGTTGTCGTCCACTCATTGTTATGCTAATTTTTTCTCTGCCCCCTCCCTCTCTCCGCCCCCGCCCCCCTCTCTATATTTAAGGCCCCGTCACAGAAACGACCTCTCTCTCTTTGTGCCGATATGTGTTCTCTCTCTGTGTGTGTCCTTGTGATGTCTGTCTGCTTGTATGTTTGTCTATAGTTTTCTAGTTAGATTTTTGTTGCTATTTCTTTTATGCCTGATGATGATTGCTTGTGTTGCAATCGAAACGTCGTAATATGCTATTATTTAATTTATTATTTTATCTTTAGACGTGACTTAACCGAAAGAACCAAAGAATAATTCCTGCAGTCACGAAAGCTCCAAAATTAAGATTAAAACGTTCTTTGTTTTTTGTTCCTGGCTAGTGTTACTTTCCAATTGCTTATGCCTCAAAAGTACAGAAAATGGCTGTTATTCCCCACAAACTTTGCTTCTGTGACCAGGACAGTGATATTTTAAAATGTACCTATTTTCAATGAGAAAACGCGGTGTGCATTTGTGTCATTCCTTCACATAAAGTCCTGGTCACAAAAGCAAAGTTCGTGGGGAATAATAATAGCCAATTTCTATACTTTTGAGGAATAAGCAATTCGAAAATAACACTTCGTATCCAGGAACAAAAATCGTGTTAAATCGTGTGACAACTGCAGACTATTGCTGGACAGTGACAAGAGACGCTTCAATTAATAAATACAAGAGACACGCCAAGAAGCGCCGAGTAGACTCTGAATAAAGGACTAAACTACGAACGTATACATTTTGATTTAAAGCTTTCGTGACTGCAGGGATTCATATTCTTGGTTCTTACGTGACTTTACCGAAATAACCAAGAATATGTACTTATATATACATAAAAGTTTGTTTCAAAATACATTTTATTTATATAACCCTTTCGCTGATTTTTAAGTGTTACGTGAACAGGACAGGGTACGTGTTATGATGTAAAGCAACCATACACACATGAAAAGACCCAGGTTGACAATTTAGGAGTAAAACTCTTCACAAAACACATAGACGTGAAATGTGAAAACTTAAATATCTTGGGAACAGCCGGCAAACGGTTGTTTTAATTGTCATATTCGAATTCAGCACATCAAAATCCACAGTAAACGGAACATTACATCTCTGAAGCAGACGACGTCTAAACAATAGTAGACCAAATTCAGACTCTGCCTTCTCGACAGACCTGTTCTCCACCTGAAGACGGCTGCTTGCGTTGTGGCCGAAACGTCGTGAGAATTATTTTATTATGTTTTATTATTTTATTATTTTCCTTCTACGTGACTTTACCGAAAAAACCCAAGAATATGAATAGTAGACCAGTGTTATGGACGCGGGCTGTTCGTTCGTGCGAAGCGTGCGAATCAATGTGGATGTCCAAATCCTGAGTGGACACGCACTCGCTGCACCTGGTGGTGGTGGATGTGCCAGCGAGCTTGCGCCTGTGTGAATGTCAATGTGCGCGTGTGTGTATCATAATGTGTATAACATGGAGGAGGCTCGTGAAGGACGCTGCTGCTGCTGGGCAGTTGGAGGCAGTCGCCCTCCAGCAACAACGGA